CAATTCTGTTTTCAAATTTCAAATGAGTGATTTGATAATCTTGTCTCGTCTGCAGCAGCAGCAGCAGCAAGAATAGTAACAATGGAGGAGACGCTAATGGCTTACTTAAAGAAGAGGAGGAAGAGAAATTTAATGACATTTGGCTGCTTTTTAAAGAAGCTCAGCAGAGTAAGTAATATATTTTTTTTTCTATTTATTTTGTTTATAAATAAATGAGTAATTAATGATTTTCGTTTTAGATATTCTTTACTTAAATAAACTACGCCTTGTGGCTGTTGAAGAGCTCAATAAAGCAAACAGAGAGAAGCAGTTGTTGCTTGATAAAATCCAGCAATTGGAGGCTGTCAACAAATTAGGTTTGGTGATTGAATTTTTGTTTTTGTGGTTAAATTATTTAATAAATAATTGATTACAAATTTATTTATTTTAATGACTGCGCTTTCTGAAGGAAATGAGCAATCATTGTGGCGGGAATTGCTGCTTCGGATTGACTCAATGGTCCTAACTGGCTTGATTGATTCTGCTGAGGCTTCTGGTATGAGAAAAGCAGTCATGGGCAACAAGTTTAGTGTAGCTCTTGTTTTCTTCGACATCCGGCAGAAAACTGATGCTGAGCTTCTGGCACAACTCCGTCACTTCTCCGATGGAAGCAGAAAGTAATGATAACTTCATCTAAAAGTGTTTTTTTTGGACTGAAAAGGCATCTATAGGTGTTTTTGATGTTTTCAGCATCATCAATTATTTTGATGCTTTTTCAGCCTAAACGCACTTTGAGAAACACTTTCAAACGCATGTGTGAATTGAATTGCTACTAGTTTTTTTAAAAATCTGCTTTGAAAAGCACTTTCAAACGCCTGTGTGCGCTTTTGCAAAAGTGCCTTTTGAACTGAAAAAGCATCAATTGGTGTTTTGTGATACTTTTAGCATCATTATATAAGAACCATTAAAAAAAACCTAAAAATGCATTAATTATTTTGATGCTTTTTCAATCCAAACGCACTTTCAAATGCATGTGTGCATGTGTTTGGTAATGTGGTATAGATTCTTTATTGAAAAAGCTTTGATACGTGTTTTTTGATGTTTATATCAAAACTATCTAGAAACACATAAAATCAATTATTTTGATGCTTTTTTCAGCCCAAATGCATTTTGAAAAGCACTTTCAAATGCATGTGTGCGTGTTGACTTGCTACTTTTTTATTTTTATATTCTCAATGTATAAACTAACATGAGTTGATGTACTGGATCTTGATGCTTTTTATCACATTCACACTGTAAATTATTTTGATGCTAATTAATTATAATTTAAATTCAGGAATGGTTTTCATATAATCCAAATTTGCACTGAAATGGAACCACTGGTATCGGTTGGATCCTTGTCATCGTATGTGACAGGCTTATCAAAGGCACTGCAGAAAAAAGGACACATAGTGGAGGTTATTTTGCCAAAGTAATTGATGTGCCTCATCTTTTGTGTTTTATATTTATTTCAATCTCTTGTTAGGGACATTTTTGTATAAAGATGCGTGTTCACTAGAACTTTTTAACTTACAGTTTGTCCAAGTGTGTTCATCTTAGTTATTGTAGTTTTTTTTTTTTTTTTTTTTTTTTTTTTTTTTTTTTTTTTTTTTTTTTTTTTTTTTTTTTTTTTTTTTTTTTTTTTTTTTTTTTTTTTTTTTTTTTGAAGGGGGGGGGGGGGGGGGCTCTAGCAGTCCAGCCATGAATACACTAAAATGTTTCTATCAGAGTATGATAATCAAATTCCTCTCACATTAGGTTCTATGTCTTCCCAATTTTGATTCTGCACAGCAAGGTTTCAACACCTCTTTTGAGTGTGCTATTATTATATACCACTGATTTGGAATTTCTAAACCGGAATAGTCTAGAGGTGTGTGCGAAAATGAGAAGTTAACCATGCATCCTCCAACTTTGTAGGACATTATCACTCTTTGTTTATTGATATAGTTGAGTTGCACCGAGGACAAAATACCCTTGGGACTGTGAGGGAACACAGGGCTTCTTTCACACAATCAAACTTCGTATGAGATGCCAAATATTGGTAGAAAATGTACCGGGCCACGTGCCGCGATATAATTGTTACAGGCCCCCCCCTCCCCCTCCCCATATCTGAACTTTACTTAGTTATTGAATTAAGAAAATGAGTTTATCTGTAGTAGGAAGTGAACTTGAACTTGTTTGTCAATTTATAATTGACTGCAGCATGCAAAGATTTCATTGAATGTTTGCTGTTTCAGGTTTTTTTTTTTATTATACACTAGAATCTAGATTGCAAGCCTGAAAATTCTATGTCATCTCCCTGAAGGTATGCATGTCTGGACCTCACTGAAATGCAAGGACTGCGAGAAATTGAGGCAGAGTTGTATTCATATTTTAATGGTCAATTGCATGGAAACAGAATTTGGACTGGGTGGGTTTCGGCTGTTTCCTTGATACAGGAAGATTATGCTGTTATTTTCATGATTAACCTCCATTTCAGTCGATTGTTACCCAGGAGAAAATTTTTCAACAAGCAGCTGAGATATCGCCTTTGCATTGCCTTCATTGTTTAAGCTCTTTACCTTGATCTTATTGTTAATGCTGTTTGTCCAGCATCGTCCATGGCATTGGAGTCACTCTCATTCAACCTTTGTACTATTCATCCTTTTTTGATCGTGAAAGGGTATATGGCTACTCAGATGACTTTGAACGGTTGGTAAAAATTATTCCTGTTACTGCTTATTTTACAAATTACTTATTTAACACTTTTCAAATTCTCTTCACTTGTGATAATATGTATATCCTATAGGGTTGTACGAAATCCCCCTGTTCAACATAAGTAATGGATGGTGTAAAGGAAGTGTTTAATGCATGTGCCAATGACTTTTAGATTCATTAACCATTACTCTAGTACTGGTGTGGCACCTTTCCAACCCAATGACATTGGAAAGAAATTCCTATTTCAATTCTTGTTGATATAGGTATCTGTTGGGAGAGGTGTTTTCATTTAGTACAGAAAGGAGTTATTTTACAATTTCCAGTCAACTGCAAAGTCGATGAATCATGTGGTCAAAAGACAGTAGAGAGAGAATATTGTTTGGATGAGTTTCAAAATGATCTTCTTTGGTGTGAAAAGATTTATGTCTATCCAACAGTTCCTGAGTCCCAGTCTCTCTTCTAATAGCCATCCATACCCTTAACTAAAAGCTGTGCTGTTAGTAGCCTCCAAGTAGTTCTCTGTCTTTAAGCATCCTGATCATTTAACAACTGCACTGCATCTCTCAACCTGCACACCAGTCAAATTTCTGTATGTAAAAATCAGCCATCCATCATAGTTCAAAAATAAATTAGTTGACATGTGCATTCTCTTAGAAACTGAGACATCCAATTTATGCTGAGCTGGTAGTAAATGTTTTTAGTGATATGGATCCTGCCTTTTGAGTTCTGGTCAATTTCTGTCAAATTAAATAATTTTTGAAATAATGTTGAAGAATTTAATAGTGATATTAACTTATGATTTTCACAAGGAAACCCTATACTCTTATACAATGATTTTTTTTTTTTATGAAGACTGAGACTGGCTTGTACATCTTTTTCTGAGGGAATAAAGCATATATAAACAGATATTTTCAAATCAGCAATGAGAGAATGAGCAGTTGGCAGTTTGAATTATGTTACATTTCAGAATGTTGTGTGAGACCTTTTCTCATATGATTCTATTTGAACTGCGCACAAAAGAACTAACATATTTTTATTTTCCTTATGCTATTTCTTTCAACTTGTTCCTTGCTTGTTTGTTATAATCAGTAGATAACAATTTGTTTTGTTGGGTGTTTTTTTTTGTTTGATGCTTTCAGATTTACCTATTTCTCTCGTGCTTCATTGGATTATATAGCAAAATCTGGAAAGCAGCCTGATGTGTTGCACATACACAATTGGGAAACTGCTATTGTCGGGCCACTCTTTTGGGATATTTTTGTTAAACAGGTCCAACTTGATCTGCTTTCTTTTCAGCTTAATGATTTATTTGATTTGGCGTGCAGATGTTTGCCTCATGACACTTGTCATTTCTCCATCTTTCTTTCTACGTGCATATTCATGAAAAGAAGCAAAGTATGTTGAAACTTCAAAGTTCCTACTGGCCTTTGAGTCAGATGGTATCTCCTGTCCATATAAGAATAGAGGTGGAGGATGAGGAAGTTGGCTGAATCTCTATTGTGTGCATGAGTGTACTTGCCTAGAAAGAAAGGTTCATGCATCTTAAAACAGTAATCTGCTACTGTTAATATTCAAGACATGATATAGGACATCTTGTTCAAGTTAACCATCAAGCAACTTGGAGTGTGAACGAGAGAGATAAAGATGAGACATGGCCATATCCTTTACTATTGTTGATTTGTATTACTGAGCATGGATTTCATTGTTAAGCCTGAGAGATTCAGTGGACTTATGGACAGACTAGAGGTAGAACTAAGCGGAGTGTTTGGAATTTGCATCAAATAACCCCAGGGTTCAGACCATGGAACTTTGATTTCATTATACTATAATTTATTTCTGTGCACCTTCTCCTTTTCTTCAGGACGCGAAAGGCCAGGCATGGCTATAAGCATTCTTCTGACCTGGAATTTTTAAATGTCACCTTGTATTCCTGTTTTACTTTATCCCTTTTTCCAGTATTTATTGAAGTTGAAGAGGGAATGTAAACATTATTCTGTTAAAATCTGTGCCATCATAGCTTTTGTTTGTCATATCCACAGGGGCTTGGAGGTACCAGAGTATTGTTGACATGCCATGGCTTTGACTCACAAGTAGGTTCTTACATCTCTTCCATTCTGGCTTTACTGGTTCTGGCTGGGACCTTTTACTCTGTACATAATATTATGTCACTGTTATAATGTTTTAGTGCCTTGAGCAACCTGATAAGCTAGCACTGTGCGGACTTGATCCTGCTAGACTTCACCGTCCTGACCGTTTACAAGATCACACTATGACACATCTTGTCAATATTCTGAAGGTAAATAATTTTGTCTATCAATTTTTTCCCCTTCTGAATGTCTCTCATTTTAGTAGAAAATTTCTTTAATAGCTATGTAGCTAAAACATTTTTCTATAGTTACTTGCAGTCTTGTCCTATCTTTTGCTCCTTTGCTTATACATGCTTGGTAAGTTATCTTCTTGGATCTTCACTTACAGAAATTAGCCACAAAAAGAATCATTAGATCTGCAAGCCAAACTAGCATGTGATTGGCTATCTTTCAAGGATTCATTTTGTTTCATCCTTATTATTAACCTTTTGCATTGAAGAAACCACTGAAAGTTGTTGCTTATTTACTACATGTAAGTGAATGAGAATGTACCGAGTCTCATGATAATCAACAGAAAACAATTTACAAGATGATTATGATTTAATCTTGACATTAGCTACTAACAAAATTGCTGGTAATGTTCATAGGTTCATTGAAGGAACCAATTGGACTCCTCTTATACAGGGAACTGGAGAAGATTTTCTTAAACATCTTACAAACTCCATTTATTGCATATTTGTAGGAACAAATTATCTCATTGATGGAGATAATGCCAGAGCCAAAGAACGAGAAGAAGCACGTTCTTGTTTAGTAAGATTACAGTTATGTAATTTATGTGATCTTAATGCATTTTATTGTGATTATGAGAAACATTTAGTACTAATTCCAAGTCAAGAATGGACTGGATACTTATTTCTGGCATAGCCTTGTATTTTTCCAATACATGTGTTCCTGCATAAGGAATTTTTTGAAGAAATGCTTCGATGTATCTAGTCGATTCTTGACTTGGAATCAGTAATAAATGTTTCTCATAATCACAGTAAAATGCATTAAAATCACATAAATTACATAATTGTAATCTTACAAAACGAGAATGTGCAGTAATCTTGACTATGTCGAAAAACCCCCATATTGATTATATATGATGGTTGATATGCAGTTTATGAGTGATACTGGGCTTGTTTTGACCTTGTTGTGCTTGTAAAAATAGCAACCCCCTTAGATGATTAAAGGGGAAGACATGCTTATCTCATAATCAGCTTTTACCCTTTTTTCAGAGACAGTCTGCCTGCTCTTTTTTAAATGCAAGTTCTTTACCAAACTCTTCTACTTTTAAAGGCCAAACGCTTCTACTATTAAAATTTGGACGAAATCTGCTTAATTTATAATACAATAAGGTCAAACAGAGCCACTATCTACTAGCTTAAACTTCTGGATTGGATGCTTTTATACACAGTACCAAAGCATGCCACTGTTTGGTGTATTTATATCAAAGCCAGCTATTGCTGTATCAGAGAAGAGAGATTCTTGATAGCTGGACTAAAATTGATTTAGTGATTTGCATTATTTACCTTTTGGACCTAGACATGAAAGGGGATCCTAGTGTGAGTAAATCCCTCTTCAGGGAAGTTTGGACCTTCTGATGTTTTATAAGGTATAGTGGCCTCGCCAATTATGAACTTAAACTTTGGGTTGGATGCTTTAACACTGTGAATACTGAATATGGGTTTATTTGTAGTCTTTTTGCTGCATTCTGAACCATTTCTGTTCAATGGTAATAGAATACCTCTTAGATTGCAAATTTTCTCCTTTAGTTGCAAGAAGTAACTTCTTATTGTCATGTCAACTAATTAATATGATGCTGAAGCGGTGAAGTTGACCAAGTTCCTTTTTTTTCAAATTCTGTGGATATTTAGAAATTGAGAAAAAAATATGAAATAAAAAAAAGATCTTTCATTATACCATGATTAATCTAATGTTAGGAAAGGTCAAGTTGCAAAATTTTAGACACTTGATAAATACCTGCTAATCTAAAACATATGAACTATCTCTCATGTATTGAAGTTCTAGCTTCTTTTTCCATCTTCCATTACCTGAATATTTTATCTGTTACTAATATGCAGGGTGGACTTGTGTACTCAAATAAAGTTGTTATGGTGCAATCTATTTATTCAAAAGAAAGGATCATTAATAGTTTCAGTCACGGATTAGAACCTACCTTAGCAATTCACAAGTAAGTTACATGGCGTTTCCAGCTTTTAGATTCCATTCTTGCTGCAACTCATTAATTTGTTGGCAATGTTGTTATTTTAATACCTCACTGGGTAGCCTTTTTCAGAAACTTCCCGTAACAGGACATGTTTTTTTTTTTTCCTTTTTTTTTTGTGTGATAAAATAAATTTCCTGGTACATTCTTGGTTTTAGGGACAAGTTGCTTATTTCTCCTTGTGGGTTTGACAACTCCATCTGGGATCCTTCAAAGGACAAATTTCTTCCAAAAAATTATAGTGCAGATGACCTAAAGGGGAAATCCATTTGCAAAGTTGCATTGCAGCAGCAGCTGGGGTTATCCAAAAATTCATCTACTGTTTGAAATAAAAAAAAGATCTTTCATTATACCATGATTAATCTAATGTTAGGAAAGGTCAAGTTGCAAAATTTTAGACACTTGATAAATACCTGCTAATCTAAAACATATGAACTATCTCTCATGTATTGAAGTTCTAGCTTCTTTTTCCATCTTCCATTACCTGAATATTTTATATTTTACTAATATGCAGGGTGGACTTGTGTACTCAAATAAAGTTGTTATGGTGCAATCTATTTATTCAAAAGAAAGGATCATTAATAGTTTCAGTCACGGATTAGAACCTACCTTAGCAATTCACAAGTAAGTTACATGGTGTTTCAGCTTTTAGATTCCATTCGTGCTGCAACTCATTAATTTGTTGGCAATGTTGTTATTTTAATACCTCACTGGGTAGCCTTCTTCAGAAGCTTCCCATAACAGGACATTTTTTTTTTTTTTCATTTTTTTTTGTGTGATAAAATAAATTTCCTGGTACATTCTTGGTTTTAGGGACAAGTTGCTTATTTCTCCTTGTGGATTTGATAACTCCATCTGGGATCCTTCAAAGGACAAATTTCTTCCAAAAAATTATAGTGCAGATGACCTAAAGGGGAAATCCATTTGCAAAGTTGCATTGCAGCAGCAGCTGGGGTTATCCAAAAATTCATCTACTGTTCTTGTAAGTGTTGCATATAGGACCTTGAAATAATGATTTTGATGTGTCCTTCATGTTATGACATACCAAATGAATCTAAATTTTTAATTATGTTATCTGGCTGTGTTGGGAAAGGTACTGTCAAGAGAATCTGAATTAGGGAATGTTCTAAATTTTTAACCTTATTATGTGGTTTACTCTCTTACAATCTGGACGCATTTGATTGGTGAGATGAGGCATGTTATATGTTTACCAATGTATGGGAGCAGTGAGATGAGGCATGTTATATGTTTACCAATGAATGGGACCAGTCAAAGTAAAGACCTTAGGGAAATTAAGGCATGAGATGAAGTGAGCAATAGAGATCAGGCACAATGGTTGTGCACCCAAGAATGGATAACGGCATTGAACCCTAAACTTACATCACCACCATGGACCTAACTATCAAAGTGAGCCTTTTGATTGTATCAATACTCATTAGTATCCTTCAAATACAACTTTGATAGTGGGGAACATGAGTGTCCTGCCTAAAAGGGTGTCCATGTTTTTGGTGTGAGTTGTAGTTTGAAGGGAAGATATTGTAATATTGCGCAATGGGATGGTGCCAAGGAGACGCATTGTGGCTGTTGATTAGAAAGCCTGCAATACATACAGGCACTAGTCATTCCATGAAGCTCATGTATGCAGGTAGAGCTTTGTTGATGCACACAAAAAATCAAAATAAGAAGAATGTAGAACTATTCATTAGGTTTATTTTCTTCCAAATGTGAAAGATCCTAATTAGGATTTTTCTTTGTTTATATTGGTCATGTTTAACGCAGATATTTTAGATATTTCCTATTGAATATGTAGTAGTATAGAGGAATCTATGCAGGAGCCAGGGATGGTGGAGAGTTGTGAGGATTAGATCGAAAAAGTGGTAAAAGCAAGTAATACTTTAGAACCTGAGTTTGACTCTCAAACCATAATTTTCAAAACTCCACCATCCCTAACTCTCCTGCATAGATACTACTATACAAAAGTTACAGAAGGAAATATAGAAAATAGGATATTCTATCCTATACTATTAGGACCAATCTAAACATAGAATATCCTAGTTAGAATCTTTTATACTAACAAAGAAAATAAATCTACTGAATAAAATCCTGGTAAGAATCATTTGTGTATTGAACCATTTGGACTTGCCAGTATGTATTGTCAAAATGCACCCTTTTCTACTCATTTTGATGTGAAAAATCAGAAAGCCAAATGCTTTCAAGTATCCATTTAAAAAACAGGGCTAACAGCTAAGTGTTCAAAATGTGGTAGCTTTGTGTTGTGCACATAGCACAGCTTCCACATATGGTTCCTAGGTCAATATTTTGTACCTAGGGGCATGTTTTAGCTCTTAAGCTTCTTGTTCCCTGGCTTAAAATTATTCTGCACGTTTTGATTCTTAACTTTAGCATCTACAATATATGTATGATAACAATTAAAATATCCTGGAGCAGGTGCATTTGTTTTCATAATAAGTGATTCTAAGGTGTATAAAACATAATAAACTTCTCAGGATATATTAGACCATCAAACTGAAAAGTTTAAATGCTTTCTAATCAGGTAGGATGCATCTCTACAGAATCTTTGGATTTTGATCTGAATAACCAGAAGGCTGTTTGGAATGCTACACAAAAGAATGTCCAGGTTTGTACATGTTTTTGGGGTCTTTATTTCTTTGAAGAGAATACAGAGCTTAGTGCTGAATATTGGAGAAACTCCTTACTAGGTGGTGAAATGAGGGTCCTTAAGAAAGTGACAATAACAGTGATTCTCAATTTTCCTTGGCAGCCGGATGAATCAGTAAAAACTGCTGCTGTCATTTTTCTTTTTTAGTTTTATACAGAAATATACATGAATTTGATTTGTTTAGTTGTTTCCCACTCAGTTCATCTTCATGGGAAGCAAAGCGACAAACACAGATGGAGCACTGGAATATCTTAAGAAAGAACTAAAGGTAGAGGGTACAATCATAGCTA